AATTTTTTTAAATGGTGAGAGCAACATTTTTGAGAATAGTTTAGAGGTAAAATTGTACTTTAATTCATGAAAAGTGAGTCCCATTAGCTATAGTAACGGACGTTTAAATGGCAGGGACAATATTGCTTTAATTTGATTAGTTTAGGGGTAACATTACTATTATGAATAGTTTAGGAGTGACTTGCTCTTCTGAAAATAATTTAAAGATAAAATTATATTTTAACTCTAAAAAAATACTTTTTTATCAACCTTAATTTAAATGAATTTTATCAATTATCAATCGTGATTGAAGTTTTTAGATTTAAATTGCTGCTTTTCATTGTGCCCCCAGTCCAACAAAAATATGACGATGTAAATCATGAATCCACAAAACACCAGCCAGCGGGTTCATTGAGATGAAGGCCACATGTTGGGCAAATGGGTACGGTGTATTGACTTTGTGTGTCCGTTGGCATTTGAATTTTAGTTAAATGCGTGTTGGGAAAGATAGAGGTGAAGGTGGATGTTAGTGGATGACCACCCTCGGATCCTTCCCAACAATAAGGGGAACACATGCCCGCAATTGTAAGGAAATGATGTTCAATGTCGCAACCATGTTTATAGATGACCCCAAGAAAAATCACTTTTGATTGGGCTTCCATGTTCCATCTGCACAAAAAGGCCGAACCAATCTGGTTTGGCAAGTTACACTATAACTAGCTAGCACCTAGCAGTGGCCACTCCAACTATACACGTCAGTGCCACACATTCAACTAAACTGCGTCATCATTAATAGTTCTTATTAACACATCCCAATCTCACTACGTTTACTTTCTCCTTTTTTAAACCAACACGGCATAGTATTTATCTCTCATTGACAAATTACAATTTATTTTTGGTAGGCGTCCCTACTCCCATTTACTCAGTGATAGTGACTTGTTTATTACCCCTACGTAACATGAATTAATTAATCTCATGTTTCACAAGAGTATTAATTAGTATTTCTTACATTTCAAGGACGTAAACCACACACATATTTGATCCTTTGGTGTGAGGGAACACAAAAATATCAGAAGAAAATACTTAGTGCAGAAGAAATGCAGGAAAACATATGTGCGTAAAACATGTTGTCCACCTTAATTACCCTCCACAACTAATTCACCACTTGCTATCTCCCATTTATTTCATTCATTATACCCCACACCCCACGTTCTCTCATCATCCATGGACCCACCCACCCCACCACATGTGGTATTGGGCACTGCTCTAAACTACATTGCTCCACGTCCCATCATTACCATGTATCCCTCCCTCCTTCCCTCCCTCCCTCTCTCTCTGAATCAGAACAGAATGATACATACATCTCACAATCGGGCAATGCAGATTCTTGCCAAGTGGTATAATGTGGCAGACCACTCAGCGAAGGCAATCTTAGAGATTCTCGCAGGGTTCTATAATTAAAAAGCGGGCCTCAGAATGAGCTAATGCTTAATTAGAACAACTAAACAGCAATTAAGCTTCATTATATAGCAGTTCCTTGGGAAATCATAATTAATGCGACAGAATGATAAATAAGGATACACATGGACACATGATGAGCGTCAGGAGATCCACTTAGTATGGATGACATTTTAGTTGGATCCGAATCCCATATGACTACTCAAACATAAAAAAAGATTTTCTGGGAAATAATGAATACTAAAAAATAGCGTGGTATCAGATGTGGAGGTATTTAATTAGTTGAGAAGTGGGTGACATAATATAACCCGGATTTTGAGGAGTGTCTCCTTCTTCATTCAGCTGTGGGATTATTTATATGCTGGTCTGTTCTCAGGGTCAGCTTATCAATTATTTATTTATGGTTGGAGATGATATTAACGACGTCATGTTTTACCCTGTTGTGAATTAATTGAATATTCTTTTACCTAGCTATCACTATGACGATTGATATGATCCATGACTGAATAAGTGGGACACCAATTGTTTCAACTTTTGGCCCTTCTCTTAGTTTAGTGATTGTCAAAGTTGCCGCTCCAGCAATTAACTGACCAAGCCGACATCCATTCATTTTCCAAGTTCCCAAATTTCACAACATGTTTATAGGTCTGTATAAGTTAATTACGAAGTTTAATATTATGCTGGCTTTTTGTTCCTCACCTGCTCACTCTACACTGCTCATTTTGTTCTACAGCTTTAAAATGACATGTTCGAGGATTTTGGAAGAATATATTACTATTCTATTCGAGGACTCGCATTTAATAAATATATCTGCATCATCGTGACAAATTAAAGTAGCCACGCATGCATGATCCCGGGGAGAATCTGGAAAGCATGTAAAGAAATATTTAGGATGTACGAGGGGAACTTTGTGCGGGAAACAAGGATGAAGATGGGAACAAATGGAAATAATTAAGGAGAGAAAGTTTGTGTGTCCTTATTCTAGGCTCGCAGGATTGCTATCCTTACTTTATAGCAAGCCTGTATTTTCTGTCCCAATAAAATCCAAATTTAAAGCGGGAAAGAAGAAAAGGAGGAGGAGGAAACTATGGTGGGATTTGCACCTTTATAAAGTTTGATGGATGGTTGGGATTTGATAGAGAGGCAAGTTGGGGCAACTTAACAATGGAAGCTCCATGGCCATTCACTGGATCATCAAGAACATGGCTGGACAAATTAAATCATGGATTGCAGCTGCAAGTTATTAAGTAGTGGTAATGGTAAGTGGTCACCAACCCAGAAAAGCAACCACAGACAGAGAAAGAAGGACCATTTGCGCTGAGTTTGATCCATAGTCATGCGCCACTTGGCCTAATTCTCCCCACTATCACTTTGATAGATTCAACGTCCTTTCTCCATCTGTCTCTTTCCCTTATCATATAAAAATCTCCCAACCCCCTCCTTATCTCATCTTCCACCCCACTTATTAATAAGTATATTAATATTATCAAATTAACTGCTGATAAATAATAGTAATAATATTAATGAGGTGAAGATACGAGACGAGGCCGAGGCCGAGGCCGGCCCGGTTTTTTGCTGCAAGAAGGACCAGGTGGTGGGGACTGTGAACTTGGTTTTGGCTTTCATGCACGATGTATTCCCATTAAAAATAATATAAAAATAAATAAAGAAGTGAGAAAATGATATTGTATTTTTTTGTTAAAAAAAGGGCCCGTAAGGGGATTGCATGGGACCCTCATCGTGTTTCGCATTGATGTGGCTGTGGCTATCAAACATTTGAGACAAATAACGTAAGGGTGGCGCTTATGGGGACCGCTAAGGCGTTGCTTTCTTCGTCAATTTAACTCTCTAATTTATCGCCTGCGTCGTAAACTTCTCGACCCTTCCTACGTAGAAATCTTGTATTCTTAATTAATATAATATTGTTAATTAAATTAGAGCCGGTAGTTGACCAAACAAAAATAGAATTAGAGTTGGTGCAGCTTCTTTTTCCCGCTCATCAACGTCTTCTAATTGTATTTCACAAGCGTCATCTAAGAGTCCAATATGAAGTTGAACAAGAGTAATTGTTGATTCATCTAAATCATGGGCTTAATTAATTATCAAGCCTTGCTTTGAATACTTCAAATGGGGGAAAAAAAAGCGCCTCGCTTAGGGACAAACTGGGGATGCAAACTTTTCGGGGCCGCTTTGTTAAATATATATATATATATATCCCTTTGTTTAATTCCAACGCCAATGTAAAAGCAATTTCACTTTTTGATTAAGGAAAAAATAGGCGTGATGAATGATTTCAGACAAAAGCTGGGAGTCTGTGTATATATGCACATCCGCATCACTTAGGATTTGCGATCGATTCACGAATAAGTTATCCGATTCTCTCTTAATCACGATCACTTTACCGCGGAATCTTAATTTAGTTGTGACGGTTGCTTATTTATTCAGCAATTATGACAATGATGAGATTTTTTTAAATATTGGTCTTGACCCTTTTAATTTATCAAGTGATGAATTTAGATTTAGTGATTATATAGAACTTAAGTGTCTTTATTATTTGAACTATTTAAAGAGGGTATAAATTCATAACCATTTATTTAAATTTTAATAGTTCAAATAACATAAGTACTTAGCATATATATTAAGTATAGTTATTGAATCTAAAACTATGATTGAGTTGGTTTTTACTAGCAGTGTTATATTTATGTCTCCATGAAAAATTCGTTCCCAGGCTGAATATTATGAGATTCAGCCAAGATTCAAGATCAAAATTATTAGCTCGAATGAAGATTAATAATCTATTATCTGATAATTATCACTGTCTTTCCAACAAAAAGGAAAGCGTTGCACCTATCCATATCCTTGAAAATCCAGCTTTATTTGGAATTCTATTTTTTTGGGGGCCAACTCGGAGCATTGCACTTACCAACATGCTTGCTCTTCCAGGGTCGCTTTCCTTCTCTAATCTTCCATAATTCACAGAGACAAATATCGTGCTTGTATTCTCAGATTCTCTGCTGAAGGGGCGTGGGTGGATGGTGGTCTATCTCTTTTCATGGATTTTATTTTACCGGGACTCTACCACTTGTCATCTAATCTTGCCTAAAAGATTTGTACTGCGATTCCAATTCACAAAGCAGATTCATTATCAATGAACAACATAATTATTAGATGCGCCTGTCTTTATTCTTCTTGTGCTGTAGTGTGCTGATCGGAGCGAACACGCACGAGTCCAAGTAATTGCCACGCCCACAGTCATACAGCTGTGAAACTGAATCGTCCAAATTAATGAATTATACAACTACTGCGTGAGAGGGGGATTGAAAAGTCCCTTTCGCTGGACACTGTTCTGGTGACTGTTCAGAGATTAAAGAATAAAGATCAGCAATTAGTGCACGCTGATCATTCTCCCTCCTCGCACCCAACTGCTTTTTTTTTCCTCTTTGGACACAGCCGAAATTATTAACCAACTATTCTGTGTTGTGTAAAATCTCAACTAAAAAAGCGAACAGTCACTACTTGCTACACCACGAAAAAGAATTACAAGAAAACAAAAAGAACCTAACTGGTCACTGCAAAACAAAACAAACTCATGCTTCTCTCTCCCCCTCTCTGGCTCTCTCTCAAGCGTACACACCCACCATCCACTTATATTCTAATCCCAAAGCTCCCACCCATCCCAACAAACCCTTCCTCGCTATAACACTCTTCTCTATATGCACTGGTGGTGTTTGGTGCCTTTTCCTCCTTGCTTTGTCCGCGTTTTTGGCCATTTGCCCCCCCTTATTGCTTGTTTTTTATTTTTAACGCAAGAAATAGCGATAGGAGGTATCCAACACCACTTTTGTTCAACATGTTTGAGCTGGGGAAGGTTGTAATTCAAGAGAGGTCATCTTTGTCTCACTCAACTGACTGAAGAAATGAATGCTCTGCATTTCTGAGACAGCCCATCATGGATCTGGAGTCTGTGACCTACCGAAATCCAATTAAGGTAACTCATGTAACACTCTGGTGCTGAGTATTAGGACTCCCACCTCCACAAATCTGTCCTTTCTGATCATGCTTACTTCTCCGCAGAAGGAATCATGGAAGACCGTGTTAACTTTGGCTTATCAAAGCCTGGGTGTTGTATATGGAGATTTGAGCACCTCCCCTCTGTACGTTTACAAAAGCACTTTCGCCGAGGATATCCAACATTCAGAGACAAATGAAGAAATATTCGGCGTTTTGTCTTTTGTGTTCTGGACCCTTACACTCATACCCCTGGTCAAGTATGTCTTCATTGTGCTTCTGGCAGATGACAATGGCGAAGGAGGGACCTTTGCTCTGTATTCTCTGTTATGCCGGCATGCCCGTGTCAGCTTACTGCCTAATACCCAGCTCGCCGACGAGGACTTGACGGAGTATACGAAAGATGGGATTATGGCAGACGATAAGAGAGCTGTTGGGTCGAGCTTGAAATCGGTGTTGGAGAAACGCAGGGGGCTGCAGCGGGTACTGCTTGTTCTGGCTTTGATTGGAACTTGCATGGTCATCGGGGATGGCGTGCTCACACCAGCAATTTCTGGTATTTGAGATTTGCATTCTATATTTTCTCGGGTATTTCGATCTCAAGCAGTGAAAACGGGAATTTGATTATTCGTTTTTCTGGGTTCTGGTCATTATGCAGTATTTTCTGCTGTGTCGGGCCTCGAGCTTTCCATGTCAAAAGAGCAGCACCGATGTAAGTTCCTTTCTCTTTTGACACAATTTCCAAGAAAATTTTCTGTTTCGATTCCCTTTTCCTCCAATTTCTGCCCCCACAATCTCTTGACGCTGTGTCAATCCTAGTCCAGTTTGCTGTTTAGGAGATTAATTTGCCACTGAGCAATTATTAGTCTTCAAATTCAACTGCAGAAAGTCAAGCTATTTTTAATTAAACAAATAAAAATATATATACTCGTTCAACCAAAATTTTATTCCACTGAAGAGGAAACTACAGTGTGAAGAGCACAAGCTAGCATTTATAGATGGACTCTCCTTTAAACTTGTGCTCTTCACATGCGGTGAATTTAGTTTTTTTTTTTTCCTCCCTGATTCGATTTAGAAAGACATGGTGTCTGAAACTATTCTCTGGGATATGTTCACGATATTTTCGGAAGACTGAGATTCTGACTAGTTTATATCTGTTGTTTTACATGATTCTGCAATTGCCTTGTCTTGGCCCGCTTGGCTATGTCTTCCTTGAGAGATTGTTGCCGCCTCGATGGTATATGGGGAGAAAAAATTATTTATTTAAAAAAAATCTATTTGAATTTTTAAAAATAAAAAAACAGATTCTTGTTATTTTAAATAAATTTGTATTTTTATTATAAGATTTAAAAATAACTAATTACTTTTTTATTATTATTGTAACTAAGTATAAAATAATTTTTACTTTTTATAAAATCTCTATAAAATGAATTTCTTTTATAAAATTTTTAAACTATCTAAAATATGCTGCGAAAAGTAAAATTATTGTAGTTAGGTATCTGCAATATAGGTTTATTTGATGCTTAGTATAAAATCCTATTTGAACTTTGGAAAGCTATCGCTCTGCCATTCTACATTTCGTAACTCTCTAAATTAGTGGACCAAAAGGGAGAACCAAATGCTCGCTAGTGTGTGTGTGGGTCCCTGTAATTATCATCAAGCCAACCCTTGTTTTGATCAGGTCAAGTCATCATCCCATGCTATTTGAGTACATATACTAGAATATGAAATTGACGATTATTATAATCAACTAAAGATGAAACGTGTGGCTAAGATGAAAACGATGTAACCTCACAGTATTTGAATTTGACACGATAATGCATATACAGATAGTTAAAAAGAAAAGGAAAGAGTAGAAAAGTAGTCCCTTCATAAAATTAAGCTTTCATGATATTATGATTTCAAGTTGAAAGGGTTGTCGTATGGATAAGACTTCAAATGAATCTCCATGGGGTGATCTGTAGTCTAGAACTGTCGGCTGATTATTGAACTAGTTATTAACATTATTAGCGATTCCATTATGATGCTCAAATAGTAATTATCTGTGGTGTCTTTCAACTAAATCCAGACCTAATTCTGTCCAACTTTTAGGCAATTGCGGCGGCCAAAATAATAGTAAGAAGGCAACAAAATGATATCTTGGTCTGCATACCTAACCTCGTCACATGATTATAGTATGAATAACTATATATTGCTAATAAAAAAATTTGAATTTTTCTCATTCTTGGTTGCGGAATTTCATATTCTCATCAAATGTTTCTAGGCTTCTCTTGAAAGTAATCTTTTTGCTGGTGGGTAATAATATGTCTCCCTTTAATGACATAGCCTCTCTCTTTCTGCGGCTAACTTGTACCATCTGTCGGCAAAATGATCACAAATTTCCTTTCGATGATAATTTGTGGGCCCATAAGATTATGGAAGTTAAGTTGATATGCTTTTGATTTATCACAGGACCGTTTCCTTCAGCGCTGAAACACTTACACTACTGTAGTTCTGTGTCTAATGTTCGTGATTTCTGTAGTACACCTTTTCAGTAAAGATTGAATGCGGAAAATTTCATTTTCTGTTCTTTGCTTCATGGTTCTTGATATTTTGAAAGACAATTTATAATCAAAGCTTCATGAATTTTATACAAACTGCGTAAATTTTCATTTGCTTGCTGCTGATTGTCTTTCTCATGATAAACAGTTTCTCTGAACTTGGGTTTTCTAATTTTGAAGTGCTTTTGTCCGTATTCAGCATCTATGTTTCACTCCTTCCTGAGTGTTATACTTAGAAGTCAGAATTCAAATATCAAAATTAGAATCGATGGAATTAAACACCCTTTGGTTGATTTTACGGAATGAGTAAAAATAAGGATTAGTCTGTATATGAATGGTTATGCTGTGGCAAAGGAAAAAGGAAAAGGACCTATCTTTTAGGTGAAACGTCAAACGCGCATGTTTTATATTCAGCTCTAGACCTGCACATCCCCAATTCTTTGTTACTACGTTGTTAGAAATCTTCTGTATCCCCACTTTCGCCAAAGAAATCTCCCACAATATGCTCAAATATATCTTTCCTCTCCTGAAAGATGATTTGCTATGCAGATGTTGAGGTTCCAGTTGCTTGTATAATACTGGTATTTTTGTTTGCGCTCCAACATTATGGGACCCATCGTGTGGGATTCCTGTTTGCACCAGTTGTGATGACCTGGCTGCTATGCATCAGTGGCATTGGTATTTACAATATCATTCATTGGAACCCACATGTATATGAAGCTCTTTCCCCTTATTATATGTTCAAGTTTCTGAAAAAGACCCAGAGGGGAGGTTGGATGTCCTTGGGTGGAATTCTACTGTGCATAACAGGTATGGAGAAAGCAGAGAAAATTGTATTATTATATTTCAACGAAGTTTACCTCATGCTTTATCTTTTCTTGATACCATCATTTTTATGTTCCAGGTTCAGAAGCCATGTTTGCCGATTTAGGACACTTTTCACAATTGTCAATCAAGGTACACAGATGCCTTTTTAAAAAAAAAAAAAACTCAGGATTTCATAATTATGAGGCAATATGTAAGTGAAACAATGAGTTGTTCCAAACTTAGTCTAATTATTGTTAATGATATCCAGTGCTCCAGCAAGAATAATTGAGATCCAACTTTTGTTGGATGGTTTTGGCGTATGTTCAAGTTACCCAAAAATTGCCTGTCCACTTCAGGCTGAAAAAATAATAATAATTAAAATTAGATTTAGATGTTTGCATGATGTAAACTAAGATGGGTAAAGCTATACTATCCCTGAGGCCTGAGGAGGGAAATAAGCTCTTTGTAACTAAAATTCCCTTTCCTGCAGATTGCTTTCACCTTTTTGGTGTACCCATCTCTAATCCTAGCATATATGGGACAAGCTGCTTATCTTTCCAAGCATCATTCCCTTGAAAGTGACTACAGAATTGGCTTCTATGTATCCGTACCTGGTAAGTTCTCTGATGTTGATCTCAAGGAGCCATCATTCCATAGAGCTCAAGTTTCTGCCTTTTGTCTTACTTTTCTTGTTCATTTTTCGTCAGAGAAAATTAGATGGCCTGTTCTTGTAATAGCCATACTTCAAGCTGTGGTTGGAAGTCAAGCTGTCATCACCGGGACTTTCTCAATAATCAAACAATGCTCGGCTTTGAGCTGCTTCCCCAAAGTCAAAATTATCCATACATCTTCTAAGATACACGGTCAGATTTACATTCCAGATATCAACTGGACTTTGATGCTTCTTTGTCTGGCCATTACAGTTGGATTTAGGGACACAAAACGCATGGGAAATGCATCAGGTACAACCTCCACAAATTAGTTTCACGATGTACTTGCATGCTTAGAAACTATAATCATTACCCATGTTGTGGCTTTACTTCTAATGTTAAAAATTTAACCAGTTTTAAAGCATTTTTGTTTTCTTTCCATAAACAGGATTGGCTGTCATAACTGTCATGCTGGTGACCACTTGCCTAATGTCTCTGGTCATAGTCCTATGCTGGCACAAAAGTAGTGTTCTAGCCATTTGCTTTCTGTTCTTCTTTGGCTCCATTGAAGCACTCTACTTCTCTGCTTCCCTCATCAAGTTCCTTGAAGGGGCTTGGGTTCCTATTGCCCTCTCATTCATCTTCCTCATTATCATGTATGTATGGCACTATGGCACAATTAAGAAGTACGAGTTTGATGTTCAAAATAAGGTCTCCATCAACTGGCTTCTCAGTCTCGGCCCCACATTAGGAATAGTAAGGGTCAGGGGAATTGGCCTCATACACACCGAGCTTGTATCAGGGATCCCGGCCATTTTCTCTCACTTTGTTACCAATCTGCCTGCTTTCCATCAGGTTGTAATCTTTCTCTGCATCAAATCAGTCCCAGTGCCACATGTCAGACCTGAAGAAAGGTTCTTGGTGGGTAGAGTTGGCCCTAAGGAGTATAGGCTTTATAGGTGCATAGCAAGGTATGGCTATCGTGACATTCACAAGGATGACATGGAATTTGAGCAAGATCTTATTTGCAGCATAGCTGAGTTTATCCGGTCAGATACTTCTAAATGTGGCTTAGAATTTAACAATTTCGAAGATGACGCAAAGATGACGGTTGTTGGGACTTCAGCATCAAAATTAGGTGTAAGAATGTGTGAGGATGATATAGATTCCTGTCAAATGGAAGGTACTTCAGAGTTGAGGGAGGTCAAATCTCCTGAGAAAGTTAAGAAGCGGGTCAGGTTTGTAGTGCCAGAAAGCCCAAAGATTGACTTAAATGCAAAGGAGGAGCTGCGGGAGCTAATGGAGGCAAGGGAAGCAGGAATGGCATTTATAATAGGCCACTCATATGTGAGGGCAAAAAGAGGATCAAGCTGGATAAAGAAAGTTGTGATCAATTATGGGTATGATTTCTTAAGGAGAAACTCTAGGGGACCAACATTTGCCTTAAGCATCCCTCATGCATCTACCCTGGAGGTGGGCATGATCTATCACGTCTGAATTTTGGCTAGCAGTTATGTAGCCTAGTTTTGTAACTAGTGATGTTATTTAATTAGCTCGGCCTACATAAATAAACTTGATAAATGGCGGCATTTTGTATAGTTTCCCTCCAAGCTTTCCCGGCAAGCATAAGTGTTGCCATTACCGAGGTTCTTCTGACCGGCAGATAATTGCTTCTTCTTTCTTTCTTTTTCTTTACCACTTCTGTGTCGTCTCAGTACATAAATAAGCTATCAGGAGGGGTAGTTCTCCATTATCTAAAGCCCAGATCTGAAATAAAGGTCAATTTTAGGTTGACAAGGAATATTATGTACATGGTTCTCAGAATGAATGAGAAGAGATAAGTCAAACAATATAGAGGTTGGTACTTTGGGGGCTGTAGAATCCCTTCTTGTGTCTTCATATATACTTGATAACCTCAGCCAGGCAGCCAAATTTCAGGAAATCTAATAACTGTCACGGGCTGTTTGGTTGGATTGTTTGGTTGGATTACATGTAACCTTGATACAATTCTCATTTACAAACTGTTTGGTTGACATTTTGCCTATAAAGGCCATTGTGTAATGCAATCTCAATTATAAAAAATGTGGTAATGCGGATTACATCAAAAAACCTATGTAATCCCTATTTTCATCAAACAGTTTATTCAAATATCCCTCTCTTCATCTTCACCCTTCTTCTGCCTTCGAACCCACCTCCCTCCTCCCCTGTTGCCATCATCCCTCCTCTCTTAGCATCGCGTGTCAGCTGTAACATTTCAATTTAAATTTTAATAGTTAATTTTGGTTAATAGAAATTTTAAAAAATATTTAGAGGTAAGAAAATTAGTAAGAGATGATTATTAAATCTAACTTAGAATATAATTATAAATTAAAATAAAAAAATTTAAAAAAATAATTAAAAAAAATATTATTAAATTATTATTATAAAAAAAAGAGAAAAGGCATGAAAAAAAAACAAAACGAGAAGAACAAGAAGACTTTCGGCGTTTCCGCGTGCCATCATTACATATATATTATAATAATAAAAAAAAGGGAGAGAGGAAAGAAGAAATAATAAAAAAAAAAAAGATGTGAGACCCACTGAATTTTTATAAAAACTCACCTGTTCCTTCGTTTCTTCATTCATTCCTTCGTGCACGCTGAGGCAGAGAGAACGTGAGTCGCCGGTGCGAAATATCTAAATTTTTAAGGTAAGAGTTTTTAATAGGATATTTAAGGTGTGATTTTAAGCTTTTCAAGACTACGTAAGTGTTCTAAAAATTTTTCTTAGTCATCCTTCCTCTTTGGTTTCTGATTTTGTAATGGTAGAAAATTTAGGATTTGGAAGAGGAATGAATTTATGTTGAATGAATATGGTTTTTGAGATTGTTAGTAGTATAATAAATATTCTAGAGTATAAATTTATGGATTATGGATCAAATTCTAGACTAGATCTAAAAATATATGTTGATTTATTGAGGTTTAGATGATTATTTAGAATGAGAAATAAATTATTATGGCTATAGGATTATGATTCTAAGCTAGAGACTCAATTTTTAATTTTTGGGTATTTTAGGTACGAATTTATGAAATAAAAAAAATTTTGATAATAGAAATTAGTTTAGAAGTTGATTTTTAGATTATTAATGTTTATTGATAATTAAAAGAGGAGTCAAAAATTTTACTTAATAGTATTAACTATAGATTTGTATTAAGATTGAGATTAGAAATTATGTTATATTTTTAATTCTATTATTAGAATTATTTTATTAGTTTCAAAAAATTAAAACTAATATTTATAAATAATATGTTATTTGTAGATTGTATTACTGGTAAAGATTGTGGTGAGAGAGAAATTTTAAGGAATAATTTATTAAAAAAGCCACAAGGTAACCATGCTTTTAATTTGTGATTAGTGTTACTTCATGTTAATTAAGTGATTATTGAGAAAATTATGAATTTTGTAATATTATACAATTGTACAATATTATTATGAATTTGTTTAATTATTGTGGGAAGTGTTGGGAGACTTGCTATTATTGTTGTATTTATGTGCCATGTGGTACGCCCCTATTGGAGCTCAATAGGTGGCTTATAAGGGCTCGGGCTAATCTACCTTTGGTCGGGTAATTTAGCACCGAGTGAGGGCTACAGCTCGAGGTTAATAGAGGGATATAAGGATGGTTGTTTGTGTGTATTGTAATATTTCTTATATTTGTTGGAATTATATTATTTTTAATTCTCACTTAGTAAGCACACACTTAACTGTTTGTATACACTATCATAAATTGGATTTGGTTACTGGGACTTTTGAGTCTCATTATGTGGTTAACAATTTTCAGGAGAAGAGCCACGAGTGACACGTGGAGGAGTCTCAAAGGCTTAGTGATTTAGATCCACTGTCTCTTTTGAGTATTTGATTTATGATTTATAATGTATTATATTGCCAATATTAGGGCTTTTTGTTTATTGTCAATTATATGAATATATAAATGTAATCACGCCTTTCAAACTATTTCTATTTTTGGTATACTTTAGATGACTGTAATTTTAATATTTGATTTACTTTGGATTGGTTAAAATGGCATGATTATGAGACCAAATAACTGGCTTGTGTTAAAAATTAATTAAATTATTTATTTTACTTGTTGGGAGTATAAGGATGGACAAATGTGATTTAGTTTACTTATTGGGAGTATAAGTATGGATAAATGTGATTTAGCCTAGTGGCATGTGGAAGGTAAAAATTTATTTAAAATGTTATATTATGTGAGTTGAAGCCAATTATAAAATATTTTATATTAAAATTATTGATATAAAAATATGTTGGGTGGCTGTAACCCAACTATAGTTGAGTTAAATTATTTAAAAAAAAAATTTGGTATGTTACATCAGCTCCTCCACCAAACCACCCATATCCTTTATCACCTGTGTTCTTGGCCTCTTTCAAGCAAATGTGAATGAGAACAACAATGAAGCTTGAGAGTAAGCTTGTGCAAGATGCCCATAAGCTAGAGATGCTCGACCCAACCTGTGCAAAATATGCCCAACCTGAGCCCTTAAAAAAATTGCCTAATACTGTTTAGGCATGTTCGGGCTGAGCTCGATCTTCGGATTAGGCAGGGTTTAGGGCTGGGGTATCCAACCAATTGACCTTGCTCGGCCCGACATATAATATATATTTTTATAAAAATAATAATATAGGATGTAATTTGTTAACTTGATGGAGACATAAATGGTAGTTCCTTTTTTTTTTGAGGTGCCTTGATGATCAAATTTGTAAACCTTAGGTTGAATATTTATATATTCCTTAGAATTTGGAACTGGACAGCACTTGTGATTTGTATGAAAAATTTCTCTCATATTTGCTTTGCCATTAAATTTTTTGATGACGCCATAATATTTTTACTAGTGATATTTTGATTTATTGATGGAAATAATTAATCTGCTATAGTGTATTTCAGATTTGTATGGTGGCTTTGATTCTTTGTTTCGGTAGGGCAAGGCTGGAGACCCTGCCCGAGGTGCCCGATCCCTGCCTGACCTTGCCCGCCCGGCCCCTCCAAAGTCGAGTATCTTTTGAGTAGGGTCGGGCTTTGGGCATATTTTTTTTGCCCAAAGACATTTAGGGCAGGGCATCAGGTTAATAGGCTGCCCTACCCGACTATTCGACCCTACCTATGCACAGCCCTACTTGAGAGAATTTTGTTGAGGAAGTGAGAATAACACACTAGTAGTCACTTAAGACAGATCGTTCTATTGAGGATTCTGTCAGCCCACTCACAGCCATTGCAACAAAGATAGATTGTCTGTCCCAAGCCCACCTTGATGCCACTAGTTGGAAGCCTGCCCTGCCGCCACCCTCTCACACCGTCATTCTCAGATCTCATCTCCTCATTTGCATCTTCTTCGATTCCTCACTATCTTTGAGTTGATTTTTCAAATAGTGGGTTTTTGTATTTGATTATGTTGCTTTGTGTGGTTTCTACTGGTATAAGGTGTTGATTTTCCAGATTGAGGGTGATGTTGCTGGAGAGCCATCACTGTGAAAAGGCGGACGATGAGCAGCATTTTTTTTTAAGGTTAGGGGTATAAAGGACATTTCATAATTCTTTTCATCTTATAACATACCAAATAAACAAATTCCTTCTGATTCAATGAACCAAATGGGCCATGAGATGATTGGACAATATAAGTTTTTTCTCGCCTCAGAATGAAAGCTAACATTTTCTAAACATATTTGGTGGGCTCTTTAAGTTTAACCGATGCTGAGGCGCTTAGATTCCTAAAGAAATGCAAATTCAAGATGGCATCTTAGAATCTGAAGAAGGATGGAATTTCATGCTTCTTTAACCTTTTTCTTTATTTGTTAATACTTAACTATATATTATTGATCCACTTTTGCTTTATATTTTGTCTCCTAAGCTTTCTTGCTGTTCAAATATCTTGATTCTGTTGGCCCTCAAAAAAAAAAAAATCCTGATTCTTGTCATCTATCCAGATGGATAAATTAGTAATACCACACTTGTAACCTGCTTTAACATGCTACATCAACATTGACGAAGTTGAATCAATCTGATCGGTTCTCCCCGAGAAAACATGCAGTACGAGATAGATAGAAGAGAGATTTTCTAGTTGAGTGAACTTGACCGATGCTTTGCACAATGGCAGAGGTAGATTCATATAATATATATATATATATATATAGAGAGAGAGAGAGAGAGAGAGATTATTGATTGGCACATCGTCACAAATGATCCCCTCTTCAGCACAAGATAATGTTAAAAAGCTATTATTAATTTTGGAATCAAACAGCTTTTAAGGCTCAAGTGAATCCAAAACTGCGAATTTGGCACTTACAGAAAAGAAATCAGGATTGAATACTGGCATGCACTAACCGCTGAGGAATTGATCCTGTGAGTGGGTGGATGCATATGAATCACGCCAAATGATGATAAAGTAAAAGGCATTTGCCGCAACGATTGATCAGAGGGAGCGTAACCTAAACGTTGCTTACTTGACTAAAAGAGGCAGACAAGTTTTTTGACCACCACGAAGAAAGCCAGAAAAATCAGATTCCAACCATTTTTATAAACATATATTAATCGGTGACAACACAGCACACACACACAGAGGTGGCATCGACTCTTGATCTAAACAAAAAGCTTATGATTAACCCCAAAGAAAATGCACCATTAAAAGCAAGCATTCGAGGACATGAACGTAAAGAGGCCACTTCATGCTTCTATGCTTGTAAATAATTTGATGCCCCTTTCTTTCATAAGCCCCGCAATTTTTAGTGTCAGTATTCCTCAACACTTGAATTCATTTGTTTAATAATTTGTTGGGTGATGCTTTCATATTCCTAAAATATCCCTCATGCATCCACCCCTGAGGTGGACATGATTTAATCTCTCTTTCTTTTAAACTACACATCTATCTTTGATTATCTATCATCATTAATCTTTGGATTAGGCCCTGAAGAGATATCATAAAGTAATAATTGTGAGAAAGTATGTTAAAGGCTATCGTGTTATGTGCTAATCGAAAACTACAATTACGTCCGAGTAAAACCAGATATACTTTTACTCCCCCCCACCCTGCCATTTTTTTTTTTTTTGAGTGAATTGAAATTGAGACGGTGACACTGGATAAAATGTCATGTGTGGCTGACATGACATTATTCGTAACGAGAAAGCTGAAGCACGGCCTGCAAAATTCCGTTTGCTCAGAATAAAAATCACCTTGTCGGATGGACTTGAAAGGACCCAACAATACCACTACAGATTATGATTGCCTTTCATTATCACATCCAAATTCTGTCCTCACTGCCTCTATGCTAAACCATGAATCATCACTCAAGTCTCCTTTTGTCTTTCTCCTCGGTTTTCGAGAAGGGTTCTACTAATTGACGTGTTCCCAAAAAAAAAAAGGAAAAAAGGTAAATAGCAGATTGGCGGTGGCTTCTCTTAAGGTGGATGCTTGAATTGCAGAGTTTAGACATCTATATGCGAGCATTTCGTAGTTAGGTGTTCTAATGCTGGAGAAAGCAAACGATGGTTAAGAGTAGTTTTATTTTGATTCTTATTTTTGTGATCCTATTTGGTCTCTTCTCATCAACTTCGGCCACACCTATTGCAAGTAAGTATAAAGTGCGTGATACTAGTTTTCTTCACGGCTCATGAACATTATTTGATCTAAAATCTTTGTCTGTCTCTGACATTCATGTCATCATGTGATATGCAGAAATTGTGACTGGGGTTGTCTCTAATGCGGTTTCTGCTCTTCTTAAATGGCTGTGGTCGTTGAAATCCACCGCCAAACCAGGTAAGGGTCTGCCATTGAATTCTCACTTTCTTGTTTCACCCGTTACTACTTTTTTTTTTGGGGGTACTAAGGTTGATCTGATGTGCTTGTTGGATTTAAGGTAATCAATTTTCGGTGAAGCACAGCCGTTCCATGATGAAATTTGAGAGTGGCTACACTGTGGAGACAATATTCGACGGAAGCAATCTGGGAATTGAGCCATACTCAGTTGAAGTATCATCAAATGGGGAGTTTCTGGTGTTGGATTCCGAGAACAGTAACATTTACAAGATCCATAGTCCAGTGTCTACATGTAAGCTTCCTTTTTTCTGAGTTTGTTTAGGCTAGATTATGTCCTTCGTTTTAATTTCAATGTTTTTTGGGCCAAATTTCAATGCTTTTTAGTGATTGAGTCTTGTGGTTTTGAGTTGCTTCATAATTTGGAGAATGGGGATACTGGATTCATTTTTCCTAAGAAAGTCTGTTGTATGAATTCTTCCTCGTACAGTGACTTAGCTTCATGCTTGGGACATCTTTTGATTCGGTTAAGATGTTTGTAAAGAACTAAAGATGCTTAAGCTTTGGGGAGCGCAAGCTTCTGCTTTTCAAAGTACAAAATGCTTTTTGGTGTTCTGCCAACAAAAATCTGTGTGGACATTCTGCTCTCTTTCACTTTCCAAGATTTTAAAAAGAGTGAAGAACTAAACCCAGACCAAAAAAAAAAAAAAACGGAAAAGGAAAGTAGAATGTAAAACAATATGCACTCCACCGATTTCAAGTTTGAGTGAAATATTATTTCTTTTGCTGCAGAATATAAATGTTACATACTGCATCTTGGCTTAAAGAAATATGATTGCCATTTTAATTAAGGATCAGTTCCTAGGTACTCTGAGATTAGTTCTCTCTTTTTCTAAGTGCCCTCTTGACTCTTGAGTCCGTTTTTTTTTTTTTTTTTTTTTTTTTTAGTTTCGTTTTTCTGGTATATTCTGAAATGTAAGAGTGGACCACAGATAGCAAACCAAAAATCCTTGCTGGATCGGCTGAAGGGTACACTGGACACATAGATGGGAGGCCTAGAGAAGCAAGAATGAACCATCCTAAAGGACTTGCAGTGGATGGCAGAGGCAATGTTTACATTGCAGACACAATGAATATGGCCATAAGAAAAATCAGTGATGAAGGTATACATGCCTGTTTGAGAATGAAATGAACGTAACATATCTTAACCTATGGCTGGTAAAAACTTCAAAAGCAAGAGATGGCCCATGTGTTCCTTTGGTTGCACAAGAAATTCAATCACCATCCATTCTGCCAAACCAAGTTTAACTCTGCAGCTTGATTTTTCAAAACAGGAGTGACCACAATTGCAGGAGGAAAAAGGGGACAACTAGGAGGTCACGTGGATGGTCCAGGTGAAGATGCAAAGTTCTCAAACGATTTTGATGTAGTTTATGCTGGTAGCAGCTGCTCTCTTTTGGTGGTGGATAGAGGAAACCTGGCAATCCGAGAGATTCAACTCCATCACCATGACTGCACTACTTACCGACAGCAGCAGGATGAAGAAGAAGATGATGATGCCAGTTTCCACTTAGGTATGATCACCAGATCATTTAACATCTCTAGTTTCCTAAGTCATGAAGTCCTTAAAGATATGCAGCTTCGCTCTTGCATAATCCCATTGCAGGAATAGCAGTGCTGGTTGCTGCAGGATTTTTTGGCTACATGCTGGCATTGCTACATTGGAGGGTCAGAGCAATGTTTTCGTCCTCTGATGTAAGCGATGCATACCTTTTTTTTTTCATGATTTTCTATACTAACACGATGTCATATTCACAATGTAGTCTTACTTGATGTTGCAGGATCCAAGAGCTTATTATAATACAAGGAAAGGCACGCCAGTTGCAGCACAGCAAAGGCCTCTGAAGTCGGTGAGGCCTCCGTTGATTCCCAGCGAAGAAGAATACGAGAAAGATGAGGGTTTCTTTGGTTCTATTGGAAGGCTTTTCGTGTATTCAGGGTCAGCTTTTGTAGAGATATTTGGGAGTCTGTTCAGTGGAAGTTCTAGATGTAAAAGGAAAGCCATGCATTACCAGTACCAGCAGCACATGAACAGACATTCCAACGCGTGGCCCGTGCAAGAGAGCTTCGTGATTTCTGATGAAGACGAACCTCCTCCGAGTTTAGAAACAAGGACCCCGACTCCTAGAGAAACGTGCCCTTATATGAATCAGAAGGACCTGGAAAAGCCTGCCCTGCAACACTTGAACCCACCTCGAGGGGCTTACATGAGCAACAGGTGGGATGGTGGTGAGTATGATCAACAGATTCAACAGCAACGCAAGCACCAGATTCATCACAAGCATTATTCATCGGGCCCTCAAACCTACTATGATCAGAATTGCGAGCCGAATGAGATTGTGTTCGGGGCAGTTCAGGAGCAGGATGGGAGACGTGAGACCATGGTCATCAAAGCTGTTGACTATGGCGATCCTAAGTATAATCTCCGACCTCGATTGAACTATGTCGGCTATTCCCACGGTTATTGAACATCTTAGCCTCCAGAGAGGGACTCGTCAGTCCCTGAATGGTTTCTTCTCAGCCGTAAATGCTGTAAATTTAACCAGTACTAATGCTTTTGTGAAGTTCTTCTTCGCTGAATGTCTCTTCCAATTTATAATGCCATTGGAGATTGTACAATTTGAAAGAGAAAGAAAAGAAGCTCTCTGCCACTGCAGAACTGTTAGCGACTAAATACGTACCCAGCTGTTTTGTATATATTTACTTACTTGCTTATCCATTTATTTATTTTGATAATTGGCCAGTGATTTCTCTGCGGAATGCGCACTGAGCGTAAGCGAGACTTGCACAATAATTTAAAAAATAAGTTATATTGTTTAGAGTTTATAATAGCATCAATAATTTAAAAAATAAGATATCGCCGGAAAGGATCCAAATTCTAGTTAGTTTTGATAAAATTCTAAATCTCAGTGGTTCATTAATTTTCCATTTTTTCTTTTTATGCCAATAATCTTGTAATTTTGTAATAAGTATGCTCCCTTTTAAATGAAAGGTTGTATGTTTGATTTCATCTGTAACCTTAAGTTACTATTGTCTGTCCGTCTAATTAAAAAAAAAAAAATCTATAACCTAAAGTATTTGACCGAGGATGCACATGATGACAGCATCAAGCTCTGATTGATGAAGTGATGCTCCACGCCGCACGGGTTCTCTTCTCTGTGCCTTTTTCCCCTTTACTCATTTTAACTATACCACTGAATTGTCATTTCATTTTCACGAAATTCTTAATTGAAGGGAGCGTTGTTTATTTAAATATTATATTATAGTTATACACACTCTGTCTCTCCTCTGCCTCTATTTATTATCCAAAATTAATGAGGAGAATTTTAATTCAGAACCTAAATAGGATTTAATTACTAAAGAGTTTTAAAAAAATTTAAAACTTTAGTTTATTTTAGCAAATTAAAATAGAAATAATTTTAACGGTAAAAATATCAAAGTATCATTTACTTATTATGTAAAATTATTAATTGTTAATTTACTAATATGAGTTGTAAATTATATGAATTGACATGTAAATAATTATACAAGATTTGGTATCAGTTGTTCAATCACAAACAATAATATCAATTGTTAAATTGCTAATTTTACTTATTAATTTACTAATATCAATTGTAAATTATTGATATGTATTATAATTTAAAACTAATGTTAGTAAATTAATAAGTAAAGTTAATTATCATCTGATGTTGCTACTTATCTAACAAATTAATATAATTTACAACTCATATTGATAAATTAATAAGTGAAATAAAAAAATAACAACTAGAGATTCTATATAATAAGTAAAGAGAGCTTTGATTTTTTTACTATTAAAATTATTTTCATTTCAATTTCTTAAATTGAATTGAAGTTTTAAGTTTTTTTGAGAGTTCATTGATAATTAAGTCTCATCCACTATCCTTGGTTGAAGTTCTACCAAATCTAAATGCCAATACCAAAAAAAAAAAATAAAAAAATAAAAAGGCCCATATATTCCTCCGCAGAATGATTATAAGAATTTGAGAGCTGGTTTAGAAAACAAAATACGGCTATACTAAATGTGTGACAAGGAGTACTTTTTAGAATGTTGATTTTTGTTGCGGCCAGAAAATAGGGAAAATTTAAGTGAGATCCCCTGACCCAACTAAATTTAAGTCAAACGTCTTAAAAATTTTAAAATTTCATTACACATATAAGAGATTAGAGTGAAATTAAAGAGTTGATTGAAATAATTTTATTATCTTTTGTAAAAATAGATGCATGAATAACTCGTGTAGGAAAAATAAATAATTAATATAAGTGAAATTTGCAACTTTCATTAACAAAGTAGCATCACTATGAATTTGCTATTCTTATTCCATTTATGTTAATTGCTCATTTTTCATATATCAGTTGTTTGTTTTCCTTATACAAGTTGTCCATGCTTCAAGCTTCAATTATTTATATTCATATAGCAATGTTATATTATTATTTAGAGTTATAAATTTTACTTATGTCAATTGTTCATTTTTCATGCGTCACTTATTTATTTTTCATGAATCAATTGTTCATTTCACCAAAAATAATAAAGTTATTTCAATCAGTTTTTTAATTTTATTTTAGTCCCTCACATATACAGTAAAATTTCAAAATTTTATGAGATTTAATTTAAATTAAATTAAGAAGTCCTAATTAAAATTTTTCTCAGAAAATAAGAGAAAAGATACACACAGTGATTATTAAAATATAGTAAATTGGACTGGTGTGGAACGTGGATGTGGGTAGGCGCACTTGGCTGGTTGGTTTCATAACTCTCTGCCTCTCACAAGTCACAGCTGTGACAACTAAACTATGTCTGTCCGCTAGTAAATGTATAAATTTGTAATTAAAGTACGCAATTAAATTATGAAGATGAATCCATTCACGAGACTTTTATGTCTCCCCAAATTTTCCTAACATATCGGCTACAGTCTTTTTCTCTCCTCTTAGATGTAGTGATATCCATCTTTATGTTTTCAACTAAATTATATATACCAATACAAATTTATTATTTAATTGAAAGTACATAAAATCACAACAATTTTTTTATTTTACTCTTAATTATATTAGAATTAATATTATGTTGATGGATAAAAAAGCATACAAATAATTGATATCTCCTCCCCTTCAATACAGAAAAAAAAGTCTAATCACTCGAAAATATAATAACACTCTTTATATTTAAAAATAAAATAAATTTTTAAAAAACATCCCATATATGAAGATGAAGGGTGTATGTGTACCTGATGGGTTATATTATAAATAGGAGTTTTAACATGTCAGGGTCGGTGGTGTTTCATAATATAAATTTGTTGCCCACAAATTGGAGGTTCAACTTGAGGCCTGAGCCATCCATGGAAAAACAAAAATAAAAGAAACGAATTTTAGAAATTATGCTTCATGGCTTATTATTACATTATGAATATTATTATTTAATGAACTTTTTTATTACCATATTAATTATATGTTTACAGTAATAACTATATTATTAAGTAAACTATAGTAATTGTCATAAATGTATCTGATCAATTATTTATGAGGGATCATGAATGAAAAAAAGACTAGTATGACTTTAATTAACTATAGAGATATAAATTAAAATCGTAGGTACTTAAAAAGGTACAAGGTACTGGACTAACCTGCTATGAGAAAGCTGTATGACATAAGTCATAAACTCATCTAATATGCAACATGTCACTAAGCCCTTTGACTTAAGATTATCATGGATTCTTATATGATAATCAATTAACTTTGACCTAGTCAAAAGTCACATTTAATCGGGTGATCATAAAAGTTATGATTGAGTTTAGTGATATTCATGCAGTGGAATATGAATAGTCAAGATGAAAATTGTCTCTCATATTAACTGAGAGATATTACCAGGCCTCTTGATGAGTAAAATTAAAAAAATATATAGTCATACTATAATAAAAAGAGTTTTTTCATTTATATAGTTAGTCCACTCAAAGATTGAAAAAAGTAATGGTCCATTAAAGAAGAATGACAATTTCACATCTCACACTTGATCGAAATATCATGTAACAAAAGAGATGTAATATGATTATATGATAGGTTACATCAGATTATTGATTCCCACATGAGTTAGATAGTAGCAAAAGTTTTGCTAGAGACCATTTTTGACTTATGAGTTAGTAGAGTCATTAGCTTACTACCAACTTCATATGGGCCTACTGAGTTGCATACAATAATTGACCAACTCGAGTCATAATATTCAAGTTTATTAAATATAGAATATATCTAGATTCAATGAATGTAATGCTTTGTTTAGGGTGAATGAATTATATATATATATATATATATATATATTTATATATATATATATATATATTTGAATTTTTGTTTTATAAATATTTATACATATGAAATATAAAATTTAAGATATAATATTATATATATTTTCAATATATATATATATTTTTTGTGTATATTTATATTATATTGTGTTAGTTTTAAATTTAATTTTATATGATAAATTAAATTTAATAACTAATATAATATAAGAGGATATCATATCAATTTTATAATTTAAATTTATAAGATAAATTTAAATAAGATGTGATATTATAGATTTAATTTATAGGATGTATTAAATTTTATTTCATTGGCTCAATATTTGATTTTCAAAATAATTATGATTTTTTCAAAAATTCATAAGGGAAGAAAAAAAATCCTAATTTATATAGTATAGAGTGGGACAAGCTTCCTAAGTGAGCGATTGTAACATCTTGATTTTTAATTCCTTGATTAATTAAACATAATTAGGGTAATTAAGTAAATTGAAGTGGTGTGTGGCCAGAGAGATCTAATGATCATGTTTAATGCTATTTCAGCCCTATTGTGGGTCCGGTATTGAGGCAGGCCACCCAAGCATCGAAAAGAGGAGAAAAATAAGAGTTGAAGTTGCTGTGCCATATGTCAAGGCACATAGATCGTCCGCCGCAGCGCACAGCCATCTCTGAGCAAGGGAGGACCTCTCTGTGCCATGCGCCACAGCGCATTGTACGTCCGCTGTGACACATGGCCATTTTCTGCACTTTATCATACGCGAAATGAAATAGAAAACTAAAGAAAAAAAGAGAGAGAAAGGAGAGGCGTGTTATTACTCCGCTAAGATTTACTTGGGGATCACTTTGAGAGTATTTTGAAGGCTACAAACACCCAAGATAAGTATCATACTCATTAATCTTTTCTTTTTCACCCACATTTATGAGTTTATGGTTAGGGTTTGATAGTGAAAGTAGAATTTCGGTTCATATAGGTTATAGGTCTAAATTTGTTAACTCAAATGAAGTTAATGGTGGTAGATTAGAATATTTAAATCTAAGTATGATGAGTTTTGGTGTCTTAGGTTGTTGAGCACCATAAATACCTAAAAATCCCATTTATTATGGTGGTTGGAAGTTTGTGATGCCATTAATAAAAATTTAATGGCTCATTAATGCTATTGAAAGCTAAAGGTAATTATTAAACCCAATGGTTAGACTCCAACTCTTGTAAAGTGAAGGTTGGGCAATTTAGAGTAGAGATTGAGGGTTTCAAATGGTTGAATTTGTTATATTGATGGAATTTAAATTGGTTGATTGTAATTTTGGCTCTTAGTCACCTATTGGAGTAGAAATTCAAGCTTTAAAGCTAGTTAATTAAGGGGTAAACATTTAACCTCTCAAAAGTTTGAGATAATTGGGGGAAAACTCTAATTTAGATAGTTGTATGTTAATTGATCGTTTAAATGCTAATGGTGGATATTACATGTATGAGATTGATTTTTATGTAACACTATGCATTAGTTTTCATTGAGTGTATGAATATTTGATTGAGCACAATGCTCTTTTGGCTTGAAATGTACAATGCAAAGTCAAAAGGATTTTATTATGAAAATACTTATGTTTTGAAAATAAAGGCAATGATGAGTAGAGATAATTATATGTTAGTCATGAAATGAATTTTTGAGAAACAGATGAGAATATATACTTGGGTAGCACAAAGTAGTGAGCCCAACGTGATTATTGTATTAGTGAGTTTATGAAAGTGAAAAATGAGAACAAGTGAGTATGGTTTATGGCATGATCAGTGGAAAAAGTTCACCGAGGGATTTAGGAGTAGAGAAAATTCATACGGTAATTAGGCTGCCCTCCGGTGTACGGGGGCTATAGCCTTGTCTCACTATTTGTCGAAGGACTGTTTCATAGTTTGTCGAGGGACTAGAACCTAGCTATCTTTACCAATTCAATGAGGAGAATAGCCTAAGGTATGAGACGTCCCAGGGATTCGAGAATGGGGGAAGCTATGGTCTAAGAGTGAGTTCTGTTATCTTTGACCGGGTCATACCTCATAATTAGTGAGCTTGGATAGTCTAATCACACGAACGGAGCCCTAATCTATGTTATAGCCTACGGTTTCAGTTTGAGAAAATAAGGAGGATATAAGGTTGGTTGATCATTGCCTAAGTAAATATATGACGTGTTACACGTGTTAAGTGGTGGCAGGTCGCCAGAGTATGGGTCTTGTCACATATCTAAAAATATGGTGACAATGCACCTAGTTATGTCAGTAAAAAAGTTATAAAGTGATAAATGATAAAATGGGACATAAGGGTAAATGTTTTATAAATTTGATCTCATTGTACATGTATTTGTTTTATAATTGATATATAAGTGCATAGGGTAGGTTTAACCTTGGTTGTTGAGTGGCTAGACTCATACCCTCTTATTTAATACTTTTCAGGCTCTAACTCTAGTGTTGAGAGGGATAAAACTAAAGAGGTGGGAAATTAGTACATTCCTTCTTGTATGCCTCTAGTTTTGATGTATTTGTGTAATAGCATATAAATTGTCAATTCTAGGATGCATATTCCCATACTTGCATTATTTTATTTGGAAATGTTAAAAATTATAATTTGAGCCCTTAGCTTATGCATATGTGAATATATATATGTGTGTGTGTGTGTGTGTGTTTATAGAACCAAAATACTGGTGCAAGTGTAGAAAAGAAGATTCAAACATTTTTTGAATGGTTGAGTGCAATGCAATGCTAATTTACCTCTCCATTTGTTTTTCTTAAATTGGGGTTGAGGAGTAAATTTTTGTTATAATGTTATTTTGACGTTAATGACACGTTGTACTGGTAGTTTTAGGTTTATTAGATATGATCCAAGTGTTAGGAAAGGCTTTTGACACTTGTTAAGGATTTTAGACACCCACTTTGTATAAAAGTGTTAAAAAGTGGTTAAAATGTGTTTGGGTGTCCAACTTCCTAGTGTGATGTGTTTTGAAAGTAAAACCCATGCCATTAGCTAGTACAAGAAAAGAACTTTTCATAGACACCTAGATCACGTCATTCGGATAGAGAATCGAGGCAGCCCAAAAGTTCCCCAATTATGCTGTCAAATTGACAACAGAACTGGTGAAATTTCATGCAACACGTCGCAGCACGTGGCATAGAGAGCAACACGCTGCGGCATAGAGTGCGCCCACCACGGCACACTGCTCTGTTTTTCAACACATGATTTATTCTTCACTATTTTCAACTTCTTTCACTCCTCTGAGATATCTCATGCTTTCAAAACTTATTTTTACTCTGATATGAAATATTTTTATTAATATTATCTTGTTTCTATTTAAAAAATTTGGGATCCCTTATTTTTTTAATTAAAAATTTAGTAATCACTCTTCGGAGAAAATTCCTTGATTACCATGAGCTTGATTTATTAAATGTGTTTAGTGAAGTGAGATATTACAGCGACTCTCTTAACGACAAATTTTTTTTAAGATCCACGAACATGTCCTAGTAAGGCTACAAGATCATGTCTTTCAAGGCTTATACACGAACGGATGGACGTTAGTTATTAGGAGCACTAGCTCGCTATTTGTGTTGGAAAACCATTCGTGTAGATACTAGTAGAGGGAACTAACTTGCGTTGTCAGCTCTTAAGGTCCAAACACCTGAGGAAAGTTTGAAAGTTTGACATATAAAAGATACCTCTTTCATTGACTTAAACGAATTCGATCAATCTATAATTGAAGTTTTTAGATTTTGATTTTAATTTTTCATTGCGTCTCCAATCCAACAACTAAAACCTTAAGTCATCAATACGTACAGTGAGATTTATCTTCAAATGCATCAAAAGCATCTTTATCGTCATCTACTTAATTAATTAATCACACAAATCAAAATAGGGTAAAATTTATATACTTATCCTTGTATACTTAACATACTTTTATCAAATTAAATCAAGACATGTAAATTTTAATATCTTAATAATATTAATAATAAGAATTTATTATAAAATAAATACTCTATTATAGATACACATCTCTTGATTTAATTAAAAACAAGAATATTTAAATATATAAAGCTAAGTATATAAGTTTTTCTCATAAAAATACTCTCTCTAATCTCTATTATAAAACATCTCTAACTATCTCACCGAAATAAAAAGAGGTAATTAAGTTATTAATTTTGCATAAAAATATAATAAAATTTTAATTTTCCTTTATTTAAATAAAAAATTTGAAATCTACAGCATATTATCTCTCATAATTAATTAATTTAAATAAGACTAATATTGAAAAAAATGTAATCAACACCCAATTAAGTGCCTTATATTAAGAACAAATTTTTTTTTTAAAAGGTGTCTTATAATAGGATTGGAGGAAGTATACTCCTATAATATTATTTATAAATTAATTTTAATATATTTTATCAAGATTAAGAAAAATTTTAAAATTTGTTAACTCTGTCTAAAAAATTATTCTATTAATTTTTTAATTTTTTATATTAAATATACATGTTTCAATAATATATTTTATTTTATTAATATTTAATGAAAGGTAAAAAATTTAATAAATATTTAATAATTTGATTTATAAACAAGACAATTTTTTTTAATTTTAAAAGTAGACGGGGAGAAAGTGTTTTCACAAACGTTAAATTTTATACAAAAATACAGAGAATTTAAAAGTAACCTCGCCTCAAGCAATAAATAAATATCTCGTGCACCTCGCTGTAAAATGTATAGGGAGAATTGCACTGACGCTCCAGAAGAGTATATTTACACTAAAAATTTAATAGAATTTGAAATAATTTTATAGGTCCAAAGACCTCTTTTACAATTAAGTTTTTGGTAAAAAAATGAATTTTTTTCTTTCATAAAATACATAACAAAACATCCACAAATAATATTTAAAGTCATTTGCTTAATAACAAAATGTTGATTTATTTCCCATATTTGCATAATTTATATGTTAATGAGAGGAAAGGTTATCTAAATGATATTTAGAATTAAAATTTTATAATTAACATTCAAAGTTCATTTATTGACAATAAAAAATTTGTTCATTTCACATGATTTACAGTGATTTACACTGATTGAATTGAAGGAAATTTATGAATTACTTTATGAAATTTATAACAAAAATTTCATAAATAACATTCAAATTATGTTTTTTCATGGCAAAGGATTGTTTATTTTTTTACACATTATACACGGTTTATAATTGTTGAAGGAGATTAAATTTATAAGTTAACCTAATGATATTTACAATAAAAACTCCATAAATAACTGTCAAAGTCAATTTATTTTTAGCAAAATGTTCATTTATTTTACAAAAGGGTAATTTTGTCTTTTCAAAAAAATTTAATTGCAAAAAAAAATATTTGGACTAAGATTATTTTAGATTCTATTGAGTGTTCATTGAAAATGTATTAGTTTTGAAGGCCTACCGTGCAATTCTCTCAAATCTATATAAAGAATTTCATGTCAGGGCGGGATAAAAAAGCAAAACGTCTTTTTAACCATTTTTTAAATATTTTCTTTAAAAATAAAGAATACCACGACAGAAAATTTATTTTAAAATTTAAAAATAATTAAAATTAATTTCACTAATATTTCAATCCTCATTATCAATATTATCATAGATTAGATTATGAATTATTGCTGGCCAAAAAATAACAATAAAAGCTGCAGTAAATCACTTATCATAGGAGAAAGAATATCTGAATATCGTGATCCAAACCCATCGTTCATCATGCGCTATAATTAGACCCAAATAAAAAAAAAATGTTAAAAGAAATAGAAAGAGACAACAAGTGTAAAGAAGTTTCCAAAGTTTATTGGTAACTTAAATTTGGGCTGACATACTAGAATCAGAAATTAGAAAATGAGCCGTATCAAAGGAGCCGGTGACCCGCTGCAACAAACGACATAGAAGGAAATCTGGCGACGGGCATTTCTCGGTAAAGGTAACAACAGCTAAGGTTCCGTTCAGCATCCAGCCTCCAGGGTGTGTTTTTCCGTTATCGATATATATATATATATATATATAGATATATATGTTTCCGCTACTACACTCGCTCCTCCTTCCTTCCCCGCACAGTCCCGTTGGCCTCTAACGCCACGACGGCGACGAGAGGGAGGGAGATCGTCGTTCACGTCACACCCTAACCCCCCGCTCTCATCCTCTAAGCATGCCTACGGGACGACCCGAGGCCGCCTTGGTGGAATATGACGGTGCCGGTGGCGACGATGCGGCGTTCGCCAAGAGGGGTTGCTGTTTCAGGATGCCGTGCTTGGGATACAATTCGTCGCTTTCTCCGTCCGCGCCTGGATCCATGTGGTGGGAGCGGATGCGGAGCCCCGAGAGCAAGGACCACTGGTGGAGCCGCGGGTGGAAGAAATTGCAAGAATGGTCGGAGATCGTCGCCGGACCCAAATGGAAGACCTTCATCCGCCGCTTCAATAGGGTGAGACCCGGTGGATATACGAAGCAGGGCTCGTTCCGGTACGACGCATCTAGTTACGCCCTGAACTTTGACGAAGGCCAGGACGGTGAAGAAGATTACTACGTCAACAATTTCTCGACCAGGTACGCGTCGATCCCGGCGTCGGCGAAGTCGTCGATGGACCTTGGGAAGGACGGGCCCACGTTCACGTGAGGAGGGTTTTGGAATTTGGGAGATTGAGTTCCAAGGGTCCGAAGTTGGAGCGTTTTTCGGACTGTGGCCAACGGAGGTGGATTGGAAACAGGTGTTACGTTGCTTCAGGATTCTGTGGCTTCCTCTATTTTATCGGTTGTTTTTTCTCCTTCCCAAGTTTGTTGTATAAATCACAATCTTAAAATAAGCAATTCAAGAAATAAAAAAAAATTCTCAAAATAGAGCTCTGTCTGTGGCACCGAAAAAAAAAAAAAAAAAAGAACAAGAGCTCTCTCGAAGGAAAACACCTGTATTCTTTGATATATTTGATGTAATGCACGCTACCTTGTCCTCGAAGCTTATTCATATTTTATAAAGCATAAACTAATTTCTATGGCTTACAAATGACTCATATTTTTTATGATAATAAAAAACGCGCAAACTAATGTCTTGAGCTTCAAGCTTTAATGTGAGTATTTAATTAATATGTCAAAAATTTGCTGGCTTTTCAGTTCTTAGGCCTCATTTGGTAGTACATGGGAATGCGCGCTGATTGAATGGAAATGAATGAAGGAATGCCTATTTTGGTGTAATGAAACAACTAAAGTTATGCAAAAGTTTTGTTATCCTGTGCAACCCTAACAAATTCAATCCGATTTGATTTAATAAAAAAAATCAATCTAAAAGACTAAAGAGGTTAAAAAGATTAGATTAACCTCTTAAGTTGGATCGGACATGAGAACAAACTCTCAAACCACTTGATATGGTCTAATGCTATGAAATTATTTTAATATAATTTTAATTATTTTTAATATATTTGAATAGTTTGAAATTTGAACTTAGTGTTTCCTTCATTCATATTTCATCATTCTATTTAATATAATTTTAATTTAACTTGTTGTTAAATTATTGTTGTAATGTATATCAGATATATCGCTGAAGTTTGTTGGATGATGTTGTTGCTATTATTGAAATTATAAATTTAAATCAATTAGATTGTAATTGAAATACTTTTTTTGTTATTAGAAATTGTTATAGATTTTTTATGATTATAAGTATTTGTATTATCTTAATTGAGTTTATTGAGATGAAATGAATTATTACTTTTCATACAAAAAAAGGAGAGAAAAAAAGCTAAGTAGGTACTGGACCACCAGGATCAATCTCGTAGTTCTATAGATCAAGTATGACCTTGTTCATTTTTTGGTTAAAATTGGACCAGACTGAACTAAGGTTGGCTAATCTAGTCCTTTTCATGAAAGAGATTGAACTTTGGGTTTGACTAAAGTCCAGTCTTGTCCAATCTTTTGTGCAGCCCTATAAATAATCATTCCAATAAAATAGTCCATTACCTTATTTGAGGTAATTAGCATTCCTCCTAAAGACCATAAGGATCACTAAATTTCATGGAAATGAACCTTTCTTTAATTAAAATATCCCTAATTAATAATTTTATGGCACAACTACCCCTCTTTTTTCCCTCAAATTTTACCTACTAGCTTTTGCCTCTCCCCTTTCACAAGATCTTCTCCCTTATCAAACTTCTTTATCATCACCTTTCTTTGTCGTTGACTCACATTGTGTAGCCATTGGTCACCTAAGATCGTGTGGCCGTTACCTTCTATTTTTTATGCCTCTCGTTAAGCTTTTAGTATTTGATTCAAGTTCTGCATCCCCATTACTAAGGGAACACAACCATCAATAACAATAGGAGAGACACAACTATTAGATTTGATTAAAGATCTCTAAATTTAGGGTGAGTTTGATAGGTCTAGTTCAACCATTACCTCCTCTTTCGTTGTCCAATTTCCTCCTATTAGGAAGTGTGCAAATAATAAGCGGAGATAAACAAGATAAAATAATTAAAAATTATAGAGGAGCTAGAGAAAATGATAAAAGATGACACAAGAAATTTAACATGAGGGTCTAGTGTAAGGGATAAAAAACTCATGGGCAACGAGTAAGGAATTTCACTATAAAAAATGAGAATTATAATAATTTTTTTTGTAGGTGATGGAGAGACAAGATATAGAGTTTCTTATCAACTGAAAATATTATATTGGATGATAATAAATATCTCTTGAAATATCAAATAGATATATGATGGATTTAAACCAAGATAATATACAAAAATAATTACAAAAGATTATAAAGATTTGAGTTATAATCTCAACAAACTTTTGCTTGATTGAAATTCAGTAATGCTCGTCATTGCTAAATAGCCTTAAAGGGCAAACAAATGCTATGAATACCAACTAAGCCCATGCAATCCTCAAAGTTGGTATTAGGAAGAGGCTTCGTGAGCATGTATGTTGGATTTTGATATGTATGACTTTTTTTCACAAGTTAACCAATTGCAACAATATATCTGATAAAGTGATATTTGATATCTATATGCTTAATTAGTTTTTGAGTGATACTTATTATTCTTAGTCAAATGAATAACACTTTGATTATTATAGAAAACATTTGTAACTCGTTGGGCAACACTAAATTCAATAACATGACCCTGCTACTAGATAACTTCCTTTCCCTCAGTTGCTACCTCAGCTAAAGATAATGCAGAAATATATTGAAAAAATGCTCTCCAGGTAATTGAAGAGCCATAAAGGGTGAAAATATATATATAAAAAAAGATACTTTTATCCATTAAAATCATGACTTAAAATTAACAACATCATTAGATATAGCTTTATTTCTATCAAATGCCAAACTAACATCAAGAGTACTTTTTAAATAATAGAGGATCCATTTAACAACATCCCAATAACCCTCCCTAAGATTGTGCATATATCCAATTACTATACTTACTACATTTGCAAAATCAAGTCTATTATACACCACAGTATATATATATGACTACAAACAGCACTTGGATAAGAAACTTTTGACATTTTCTTAATATTCTTTTTAAATTTTAGACAAATATCATCAAATAATTGAAAATGACCAATAAGAGGAGTAGACATAAGTCACAGTCACATTTGTATTAAAAGTACCTTCAAAATATTTTTCTTTTGAGATATAAATAATTTACCCGCTTGATGATTTTTACAAATTACCATATCAAGAATTTTCTTTGCTATACCAAGATTCTTTATGTCAAACTTTCTACTAAAGTTGTTGTTTTAATTTGTTAATCAAATATTTTTTTTTGAAGCAATGAACATATCATTGATACAAATCAACAAATATAGAAAGAAGTTATGGGAATATTATTCAAAATAAATATAATTATCCTATTTTCTTCTATTGAAGCCTTACATGATCATAAAAGTATTAAATCTTTTATACCACTATCTCTGAGCTTGTTTTAGGCCACATAAAAACGCAATGTTCCTTTGTAGGAACTATAAATCCCTCGGGTTGCTTTGTGTAGATCTTTTCATTGAGTTCTCTATGTAAAATTGTTGTTTTAACATCAAATTGCTTTAGCTCTAAACCAAACAATGCAACAAATGCAAATAACACGTGAATAGAAGTATGATGAACAAGTGGAGAGAAAATCCCATTAAAGTCAACACCTTCTTGTTGATTGCATCTTCAAACAACTAATTGTGCCTCTTATATCTTGTATTCTCAACTTTAGGGATACCACCTTTCCTTTTGTATTTCCATTTATAGCTTAAAGCTCGCTTCTTTTTAGGAAGCATGCATAAGTCTTAAGTGCCATTTTTGTGAAAACTTTCAATTTCTTCATTCAATCCTAATAACCACTTCGATGAAATAGCATAGAAAATAGCTTCAAAATAACTAAAAGGCTAAACATCTTCAGGAATCTCTTGCTCAAAAGAAAATGCACAAGCAATTAATTCATCATTATTGTATCAAGTAAGCCTTTAATATCCTTTCTTAAACAATCTCAAACAATAGAATATTCCTTCTCTTGATGGATAATGGGAGTTATACTCGTAACATCATCATATATTTAATTATGACTTCTTCCATCAAAGCTAGATTCAATAATAGAGGAAAGAGTAGTAGCTTTCACCTCTAACTCTAGTTTTTTTACTAATATTCTACTTAATATTTGAACAAATAGTAGGAGAAACACGATAATTTTTTCTAGAAGAAAATAATGCATGTTCATTAAAAGTAACATATATACTAAGAATAACTTTTTTGCCATTAGAGTAAGAGCATCATAACTGATACTTTTTATATTCAGATGCATATCCAATAGATATACATTTTTAGCTTTTAGAGCTAATTTACTATCATTACCATGTATATATGTAGGACTTAATAATTCTTAAATTAGAATAATTAATAGGGTTACTTGACCAAATTTGTTTTTGAAACTTGAAAACTAAGTGATATGTAAGGTAAACAGTTGACCAAATAACATGATATAAATATAACTTTGGCCCATAAATCACATTGATGCCATAACCTAGAGAGTATACAACGTGCTATCTCAAGTAGAGTCCTTTCAATATGTTTTGGAACATCATTTTGCTAAGGTTTTTTTACAAGTGTCTTATGTCTAGTAATGTCATTATTAGCACAGAACTCATTAAAATTATTTTCATAAAACTCTAACCTATTATCTATTAAATTTTTCACTTTTGAAAATAAGAAAAATCTTAATTTTATGCTCGAGAAAATAAATCCAAACTTTAAGAGAGTAGTCATCATATAACGATGTCCTCCAATTAAAGGATGTTTTGAAAGTCCCTATAAATTAGAATGTATATAATCCAGAATACTTTTAGTATTATGAGTTGTAATATAGAAACTAACTCTTTTCTATTTTTCAAAAATACAATGTTAGCAAAATGCCAATTTGCTGGTACTTTGACCACATAAGAGGCATTTCTTATTTAAAATGTTCATACTTTTCTTACTTATATGGCCCAATCACATGTGCTAGAGTTAGGTACTATAAGAATCATCAAGCATAGATGTTGAAATAGCTATTGAACCTGTAACAATAGAACTTATAAGACATATAGTGTACCATGATGATTATCTTTCATATAAAGGAGAGAATCTTCAAAAATTTTAAAAACTCTACATTCAATTAAATACTTACACTCTTGAAATTCAAGAGTATCAAAAGAGATCAAATTCCTTTTTACCTTAGGAACACAACGAGCATCAAAAGAATTTTAACAATACCATCACGAGTCTTGATCTGCATCATACCAATTCTTAAAATCTTACATTTATTATCATCACCCATTAAAACAATACTTCAATGAATAGGTTTAAAAGTAGTAAACCAATCTTTTTGAAGA